TTTACTAGCTGTCCAGTAGACCTGATGTCCTTGAACTGTCCGGCTTTATTGTGTAAAGAAACCCACATACAGTACACATGAACCATTTCTATTTAGTTCCGGTTCTCATGATTTTGTCCATTTTGGCCATGAACATGTCCTGATTCTGCAAGAGTTTCTAAAGAACTGAGTCTTAACAGTTCTCCTTTGAAGCGGCCCCACTTCTCTCTCATATAGGTGACTCCTTAAGTCTAGAGTAAATGGTATTACTCACTTAAGTATCATTAAAGCAATCGTTTGCTATCCTTTTCTGTCATATCACTGTTTGATGACAGGAATGAGTTGAGGATTACCCCCACAGTGACCACACTAAGTCTTATGATTAGGTTGTCCCATTGAACCTAGATCTTGGGATCTCCAGTCAACTAGGTTGGGTTTTCCTTCTTAAGACTTTTATTTCTTCACAGGCTTTACACCCATTCCTTTGGTCAATCTTTCAACTGCCTCTCTATTTAACCCTTTGGTTAGTGGATCCGCAAGATTATCCTTTGACTTCACGTAGTCAATTGTGATAATTCCTGTTAAGAGGAGTTGTTTAATGGTATTGTGTTGACGACGAATATGTTTCAACTTACCATTGTACATAGTACTCTGTGCCCTTCCAATCGCCGATTGACTATCACAATGAATACAGATAGGTGGCACAGGTTTTTCTCACTTTGGAATATCCTCCAAATAATGGCGTAGCCATTCAGCCTCCTCACCACACTTATCCAAGGCAATGAACTCGGATTCCATTATGGATCTGGCTATTACAGTTTCTTTTGAGGATTTCCATGACACGGCTGCCTCAGCTAGTGTAAACACATAGCCACTTGTGCAGTGTGTGTCCTTTATATCAGATATCCAATTGGCATCCGTGTAACCTTCCAAAACAGATGGATATGTGGTATAATGCAGTCCATAATCACGAGTATGTCTTAGATACCTCAGTACTTTCATTATAGCAGTTCAGTGTTCAGCACTAAGATTACTTGTGTATGAACTCAACTTGCTCACAACGTAAGCAATATCTGGTCTAGTACAACTCATTAGATATATCAAACTCCCTATTATCCGAGAGTATTCCACTTGAGATATACCCTGTCCACGATTTTTGGATAAATGGATACTGTTATCTAATGGTGTTTTTGCGACTCCAAAATCATTCTTGTTAAACTTATCAATAATTTTTTTCTATGTAATGAGCTTGACTCAAAACTAGACAATCTATTGTCCTTATGATTTTAACACCTAAAATCACATTAGCTAGACCCATGTCTTTCATGTCAAACTTAGAGTTTAACATGTTCTTGGTAGATTTGACCAACTTGTCACTACTAACAACAATGAGTATATCGTCTACATATAGACATAATATGACATAATCGTTTTCTATCTCCTTGACATAAACGCATTTGTCACACTCATTAATTTTGAATCCATTAATAATCATTGCATGGTCAAATTTTTCATGCCACTTTTTAGGTGCTTGCTTTAGACCATACAGAGACTTTACTAGTTTACAAACTTTCTTTTCTGTTCCTAGAGCTTGGAAACCCCCGGGTTGTTCTATATAGATTTCTTCATCTAAATTCCATTTAAGAAAGTTGTTTTAACATCCATTTGATGTATTTCCAAATTCTTTAAGGTTGTGATAGCAAGTATCATCCTTATGGAATTTATTCTCGTCACGGGAGAATACCTATCAAAGTAGTCTAAACCTTCTCATTGTTTATACCCTTTGATTACAAGCCTGGCCTTGTATGATTCTGTAAAATTGAATCAATCTCACTCTTTATGGTTTCTTCCCATAAAGGTCCCTCAGAAGAACTTACCACCTCAGCATAAGTTAGAGGTTCTCTCTCTAGCAAATAGGTTACAAAATCATCACCGAATGATTTTTCTACTCTTGCCCTTTTGCTCCGTCTTGGTTCAACTTCTTGAACCTTAACCGAATCTTGAACTTCTTCATGAGTTCGTTTTGATGAACTGGCTTCATCCTTAGTCTTACAAGGAAATACATTTTCAAAGCAAGATGCATTTCTTGATTCCAAAACCGTATTCTTGTGTATATCCGAAATCTTCGAATCATACACTAAGAACCGATATGCATTACTATTCTGTGCATAGCCAATAAAAATACAATCAACCGTTTTAGGTCCAATTTTTATTGCCTTTAGCGGAGGTACAACTACCTCTGCAAGACACCCCCACACTCGCAAGTGTTTGTAGGATGGTCTCTTTCCTTTCCATAACTCATATAGAGTCTTGTCTTCTTTCTTTTGAGGAACCCTATTCAAAAGGTAATTACTAGACAAGACGACTTCTCCCCACATATTGGGAGATAGCCCTGAACTTAACAACATCGTATTCATCATTTCCGTTAATGTGCGATTTTTCCGTTCAACAACTCCATTAGATTGAGGTGAATAAGGTGCTGTCACTTCATGGACAATTCCATGTTGTGCACAAAAGCCACCAATCGGTGCTTCATACTCGCCACCTCTATCACTTCTCAATCTCTTGATCATTTTACCAATTTGATTCTTAACTTCGGTTTTGTAGAGAACAAATTTCTCTAATGCTTCATCTTTGCTCTTAAGCAAATAAACATAGCAATATTTCGTGCTATCATCAATGAACGTGATAAAATACTTATCACCGCATTTCAAATCACAAACATCACTGTGAACTAATTCAAGTGGTTCAGTACTCCTTTCAACCGTTTGAAAAGATGATCTTATTAACTTTGCTTCAACGCAAATTTTGCATTTATTTTCTAATTCTATTTAGAATGTTGGTATATGGTTCAAGTTAATTAATCGACGCATCGAATCAAAATTAACATGACCTAGTCTACCATGCAATAAATTGGAAGACTCAATCAAATAAGCATAAGAGGTACTTGCATTCATTTCATTGACAATAGTCATTACATTGACTTTGAACAACCCATCGGTTGCATACTCCTTCCCAACAAACATTCATGTCTTAGACAAAACAACCTTATTAGACTATATTACAATGCGACACCCATTCTTGCCTAGCATGAATCTTGACACAAGGTTCTTGCGCACTTCTGGCACATACAACACATCTATGAGTGTCAGAGTCTTGCCCGAAGTCATCTTGAGCTTCACAGTTCCTTTACCTTCAACAGTGGCAACAACAGCATTTCCCTTGTAGATCTTCTCTCCATTGACTGCTTCAAAGGTGGTGAAGTGACTTCGATGAGTGCACACGTGTCTGGACGTGCTAGTATCCATCCACCCCTCCTTTGGGTTGGACTCCACCATGTTCACTTGGGTCACCACATCAACAAAGTGCATGTCCTCCACATCCTTAGTGATGTCTTTGGCCATGTTCATCTCATGATCCTTCTTTAGGGAGCGGCAATCAGCAGACCTGTGACCTAGTTTGTCACAGTTAAAATAATTATCTTTGAATCTGTGCTTCTGCTTAAAGACACCACCAGTAGTCCCTAGCTTCCCCATGCCTTTGTTGGCATTCTTGCTCTTGGCCTTGTTCTTCGAGCTTTGGTCTTTACCATGCTCCACAATATTGAGCTTAGCCTGTACGCCATTGGACGCCTTTGATTATGACTTCCTGTTGTCTTCTTCAATGCAAAGCCTAACAATCAGATCATCCAAGGACATCTCCTTGCGCTTATGCTCGAGGTAGTTCTTGAAATCCTTCCAGTTCGGAGGCAACTTTTCATTGATCGCAGCCACTTGGAAGGTTTCGCTCAAAATCATCCCCTCAGCCTGGATGTCGTGCAGAATCAACTGGATCTCTTTCACTTGACTATCAATAGTCTTGGAATCAACCATCACATAATCAAAGAACCGTCCGACACCATAGAACTTTTTTGGCTTCTCCACGTGGCTAGTTGGAACATTGGGCAGAATGGGAACAACAACAGAACACACAACCCCGGGAACAATAGTAACACCATGCACATCAGCAGTGGGAGTAGCGCTAGTAACAATAGCACTACCATCATCAACCTTCTGAGCATCAGCCATCACGAATACACACAATAAATTAAGAAAATCTGTTTTAAGATTGTTGGTTAAAATACAAAGAGTATTCGCAAAGGCTAAGGAAAATCAGGATTGGAAAAATCCGCCTTAAAATAGATTTGCCCCCTCCTAAGGTGCTTGAGGATCTCGAGCAACTGTTTCCTAGGATACAACAGAAACGTAGAGACTACTTAGCATAAAGCAACTCTACAAGCAAACTAGAACTTAGAGCAAAGTGATGAACACCGAAAATTGGAAGGAAAGAAAGGCTTAAAAGAAACTGAGAAGAGATGGGAGAAAGGTGTGTTGAACTTTGGAAAATGAGTGCCTATTTATAGGCTGGAGAAATCTTTCAAATGGCAGCAAACCTTCTAACGATTTCAGCATTTTAATTCTGTTAAATGCAAAAAATTCATGGCATAAAACCTCCAAAACATTTTTGACCAGCCCAACAGTCAAATGAATTCATTTCTGCCTTTTAATAGAATTAAATCTGCCAATTCATTCTGATTATTCATGACAGCAAAATAATTGCAACGTTTTAGTTTCATTTCGACTGATGAATGAACATAATTCTCCGATTAAAATTTAGCTGGAAAAAATTAATTCGAACCGGAGCAAAACGTGGGTTGATCAGGCCCGCGAGAGTTCGGTGATCAGGCCCGCGAGAGTTCGGTTCGACATTCGTGTCTGCAGGTTGTGCGCACACATGAGTCAAGCTATTTTGGTCCCAAATCGGACCTCCATTTGTACCCCCCCTGTGCGGGCGCACGTGAGCGGGAGAGATGTGGTATAGTATTGGCAAGTCAACTTGCAAGTCAATTTTGGGCTCTCACTTATAAAGTGAGTTCTAGCTCTTCCCAACACCAATGTGGGACAAAGTCCCTTAGCCTGAACTCTATTTTTTCAACTCTTGAGAAACTTAATTCTCATTTACTTACTAATTTCCAACAACAATCAGCTGACCACGACTATTTATGAAAGTGCTAGCAACTTTTGGAAGATAAGTGTTGACGATTTCATTGGGAAAAATATAAAATCCCAGTACCGGACCTCTAACGGTGGTGGTGATAGGTAGGGTTTGTGAAAGAACGAGGTTCTCGAGATTGTAAGCGTCATTTATCATCAAAGTGACGGAAAATTTACCGGAGGAATCATTTGTAGGTAGCAGGGACAGAAAATCAATAGAACTCTCACGTAGGCATCTCAATGTAACATTTAATGCGGCTCTGGCAGATATCCGGGTAACGGTGGCAGCCAAAAGGTTTCCAGTTGAGCTGCATGAAATGGAGCCATTGACTTGGATTCCAGCAACATTAAAAATATTGTCTAATTCAGCGGATTGAGCTTGTTGGGTTGTAATATTAAGTACTATAGCTAGGGGTAGGAGGAGGAGAAGGTTTTTCAGGCTAGCCATAGTAATATATGGATGAATGATAATAATCTTGGAAAGAGAACTTATAAGTTATAAGAAGGATAAAAGTTTTGAGGTTGTGTTGTGACTTGTAAGTATAATTGTGGGATTTTAGTTTCCTATTTATAAAATGATATTTCTCGACCCTTTGCTAAAAAAGGAAACATCTTGCTTTTTCTAATAGCTAAAAAACAAAACTATAACAAGTTTACTTAACTTTTCTCATTAGGTGTAAATAACATAATGTTGAAGAAAGGACAATCTAAAATGATCCCTACCCTATTACTATAGGTAGTAGTACTGTAACTAGCTCTCAAACTTTCTGTCCGTCTCTTTTTGTTTTTTTTTTTAAAAATCGTATCACAATTGTTGTTTGAAACCATTACCTTTGGCCAATGTATATTATCGATTGTATATGACATATCTACATGTATTTATTGCGTACTATATATCTGCCTAATATTATTCAACAAAATTGAGTATTAGAATCGAAGTATTTATGAAAAAATATTTATTCAGGACATGTTTTACTAAATCTGTATCAATATTGCATTTTAACTTCCTAAATTTAATTATTAGTTAAAATTAACAAGGTTAATTATTCCTAACCAATGAATAAATGCTATATGAAATCAGATTGAAAAGTTAGATAAAACTTGTGAAATCAGTATAACTAATCTTCAGCTGTGCTGCACAATCTCCCAGGATGATATATGATGCGAGCTAAAGTCTTAATACCCATGGACATATAAAGTAGTTTACTTATGATGCCCAAAAGCATATGCATCCGTAACCTTCAAAACACAAGGGGGAAAAAGAAAGCATGGCATAGGCGTTTGTTTTAATATTATTTTTTTTGACGTCAGTTTTAATGTTATTGTTTTCAGTAGTACTGTGAGTGACAATTCTTTTTTTTCCCCTCTCATTTTTCTTTAAAAAATCATAAAAGAATTTAAAGCAACCAAATTATTAGATAACAGATTTATTTAAATAAATAAATAGTAGACCCTAGTAAAATTCCAAAGGTAAGCGTGATATAGACCACAATTAAATAAAGGCTACATGGTCCACAATTAAATAACGGCTACACTTGTGAAATCAGTATAACTAATCTTCAGTTGTACACACTAAAATTGACACTTTTCGTACTTTATTATTTAAGTGAGATTGTGCAGCACAACTGAAGATTAGTTATACTGATTTCACAAGTTTTATCTAACTTTTCAATCTGATTTCACATAGCATTTATTCATTGGTTAGGAATAATTAACCTTATTAATGTTAACAAATAATTAAATTTAGTAAATTAAAATGAAAAATTGATACAGATTTAGTGAAACATGCTGGAAGGGGATTGAAGGGAAAGATTGGCACCTCTCTGGAGGGCGATTTGGCAATGGCCTGGACCAGAGAGGATCAGAACATGTCTATGGCTTGGAGCAAAGGGGAAACTCATGACAAATGCTGAAAGATTCCGACGTCACCTCACGACCTCGCCGGTTTGCCAACAGTGCAATGGATCGGGAGAGACGCTGCTACATGTGTTTCGTGATTGCCCGATCTCAAGGGCTATCTGGAACCAACTGCTCCCAAGAGAAAAGAAGTCTCAATTTTTCAAAGGTGATTACCACCCATGGCTTATACAGAATATCCTCTATAGAGGAAGGAATGGCCAAGGGAACTGGAGTTGTCTGTTTGGTATCACCCTTTGGAAAAGATGGAGTTGGAGAAACGAATTCGTGTTTGGGGATAAAAGCTATACAACGGCTTACCAAGTAAAGGCCATAAGGGAGAAGGCGGAGAAGGTGCAAAGGGCTAGAGAGGCTGCAACTACAGTGGGAGAGGTGTTGAGAGTCATGTGGCAAGGATTATGAATCCCACATTGGAGGCATAAGGACATGTGAATCAGTTAATAAGTAAGGTGATCTCAGAACCCATTAGCTTGAGCATTTGAGTTCAAATGGGTCTTATCTTATTTATTGGGCTCCATGTCGGGTTTTCTCCTCCGAATAAATCCCTAACAGTGGTATCAGAGCCCAGGTTGGGCCAGTTGGGTGGGTGATTTAGCCCAAATTATCTCGGTTGATCTGACTGAACCCAGGCAGTCAAAGACCCACTACGAGCGGAAGCGTAGGGATGGGCGGCCCAGTTACTCAAGTGGAGTACAGATTTGGGCTTGTCAAGATAATTTGGAAGCCCGATGTGGAGATTGCCCATGACGGGGGAGAATGTTGAGAGTCATGTGGCAAGGATTATGAATCCCATATTGGAGGCATAAGGACATGTAAATCAGTTAATAAGTAAGGTGGTCTCAAAACCCATTAACTTGAGCTTTTGAGTTCAGATGGGTCTTATCTTACTTATTGGACTCCATGTCGGGTTTTCTCCTCCGAATAAATTCCCAACAAGAGGCAGGAGGCAATAGGACTCAAGTCATGATCCACTGGGTGCCACCACCGGAGGGATGGGTCAAGCTGAACTCGGATGGGGCTTATGACATGGCCTCAGGTTCTGCTCGAGCAGGAGGACCGATTAGAGATAAAAGGGGACAGTGGAAGAATGGTTTCACGGTCAATTTGGCAGTACAACTATTACAGGAGCGGAACTTTGGGCTTTATTCTACGGCCTCTAATTAGCATGGGATTCGGGGGAACGAAGGGTGATAGCTGAGGTGGACAGCCAGGCTGTGGTTCAGTTGATCTCTGATCCAAACAAAAATGGTGGGTTGCATAATGGACTCCTCACAGGGATCAGAGAGCTTATGAACCAGAGTTGGGAAATCCAGGGTATGACCACGACAGGATGGGGATTGGAGAAATGGAGCACGCCTCCACCAGGAATGAACTATTGGCTAAGACACGATGTAATTGGGGTGTCCTACCCTAGAATCATCCTTTGTAACAATTAGGCTTTTAGCCTCCCTCTTTGCACCAAAAAAAAAAACATAAGAATATAAATTAGTCCAAAGAAGAGAACAAACATAGTCTGAAAATTTACAACCAGAAAATTGTCTTGAAAACATAGATGGATTAATATTGACCAAAAAGCGCCTAAGAAATTATGATGAATTTTTTGATTGATTAGAGTCAAACTACTGAAGATTGCAGCCATAATTTAAAGCTTATATATGTTTATAAGTTCCCTTAAATTTTTTTTAAAATTTTTTTAAAATAAACATTTTTGCACCCCTCATTTCTCTTTGAGCTCAAATTCAGCGAATCTTATGTCTGGATGTTCAGTCAAACGATCCAGCCTATTGAATCACAATTCGATCTCATCCACATGCATTATCACGGTATAGTCTTTTACCATGTCCATTTAGTTGACTGTACTATAATTCTCTAAGTAAAGTTATTATATATGATAAATAATTTTGACTAAAAAAATAAATTTGGCAAAAAAGATGATAATTACAAAGAAATAATTTTAGAAATAATGCCCTATAGGCCTATACCAAACACAAAACCCAGCTCAGTCATGATGCTAGGACCTGAGGCGTTAGCCTGTTTGTTATCTTATTTTACCAAAAAAAAAAAAACCAGCTCAGTCCAATTCACACTGGTAAGCGGTAACTGTAAAAGCATGCAGGACAACGGGCCAGCTTCCAAAATCGGATCTGAATTGAATTCATTCATATTCTACTATAAATATAAAATATGGGATATATATCGGGAATATATTCGCGTATAATTTCTTCTTGCTTTCTTCTTTCTGAATTCTCTTTCACTTCTAGCTAGGTTTTCTTTTTCCATTGCACTAGGTGTTCGAACTCACTGTTTCTTTCCGACTTTCCGTAGATGGCTGCAGACAATAATTTTAATTGCAGTGTTTACATCGGGAATCTCGATGAGAGAGTGAATGATAGGGCACTTTACAACATCCTCATCCAAGTAGGACCAGTGGTGGACTTGTATTTTCCGCAGGACAAACAAACCACGGGAAGCCAAAAGGTTATGCTTTTGTTCAGTACGAAACGGAGGAAATAGCTGGCTACGATGTCAAGCTGTTTTCCAGAAGCCTCATAACTCTCTACAACAAGACGCTTAAATTCGCCATCTCCGGTCAACAAGAGCCCGCGTCGGCTTATTTGCCCGCACCGCGGAATTTTTCTCATCGACAAAGAAGATGGCCTTATTCTTCTTCTTCTTCTTCTTCTGATTATAGTGATCAAATGAGAGTTTCTTCAAAGTCCACTAAGAAACATTTAATAAGGGCTAGCAGTAGCAGGTTGTTTCATTATGACACTCACAAATATGAGAAACCTAGCGGACATAGATTGGATTATGAATATAGATCTCATCATGGTGATTATTACCATTAACATTGAGGAGGTCTGGAATAAGTGCCCTAATATCACGTCCAAAATAGAGGACATAAAACGCTTGACAAAATAAGCACCTAGAACTTGTTGGGCTAGTTCCCCTCAATTAGCCCAATAAGGTTCGAAACCAAAAACAAATTGGTTTTGATTTTTTGGCCGGAAAAAAAAAAACAAAATCATTTACAATTTGGTTTTTGGTTTGTCTTAGCCGTGGCTTATAAAAGCAAGACATCACTCCTTGTTTTTGTGCGTATGTTTTTCAGCCAAGAGAGAAGGAAAATTAGGGCAGCCGCACAAGGGTTTTGTGCAAGAGAAAAAGAAAGAAAACTAGAGTTTAGTTTTCGGGTTAACTCTCTTTTGATTAGATCTTTCCAATCCTACTCTGTGATAGGTGTTTTGGAAGAGTATTGTTATAATCCACCTTTGGGTGAAGTCCTGTGTATCCACCGGTTGGTGAAGACTGTTTTTCATATTGTGATAGTGGAGATTTGGCTGTTGTTACAGTCCCATAGTTTTTCCCGATTTGGGTTTCCACGTAAATTCGTGTGCCTCCTTTATTTTATTAGTTCTTGAATTATTTTGCTTGTTTGGTTGTCCTATTTTATTGGTAGTAGGAAAGGAGATTTTCTTGGGGTTCGCTTCCGTAGTGTGTTGTGTTTATGCCCTTTCCGCCACTACAGTG